CCACGACCCCATATTCAACCTTCTCTGAGATAAAATGCCTGTCTATCTCGACATGTTTAGTCCTGTCGTGATGGACTGGATTCTTTACAATGCTCAAGGCTGCCTGACTGTCAGTGTACATCTGCACTTTCTCTTGACCAGGCAAATTTAGTTCCTTTAGGACTCTTTGAATCCACATAGCTTCTTGGATGCCAAGAGCTAATGCCCGATACTCTGCTTCGGCACTACTCCTAGCAACCACCGATTGCTTTTTACTCCTCCAAGTCACAAGATTACCCCAAACATATGAGCAATAACCAGTAGTAGATCTCCTTGATGTTATTGCACTAGCCCAACTTGCATCGGTATATAGCTCAATTGTTCGGGTGCTATTCTTTGTGAGAAACAATCCCAGTCCTGGAGTTGTTTTCAAGTATCTTAGAATATGTGTCACTGCTGCCAGGTGTTCTTCTGATGGATCATTCATGAACTGACTTACCACTCCTACGGCGAATGCAATGTCTGGCCGTGTGTGGGATAGATATATTAGCTTCCCAACCAGCTGCTGATATCGCCCTTTATCAGCTCGTTTCACATCTGATTCGGTGTTGAACTGGATGTTTGGTTGCATCGGTGTATCTGCCGGTTTACAACCAGTCATTCCTGTTTCTTCCAATAGATCAAGGACATACTTCCTTTGTGATATAAGCAGTCCCTTATGTGACCTGGCCACCTCCATTCCCAAAAAATATTTCATTTCACCGAGATCCTTTAGCTCAAACTCCTCTCTCAGTCTAGCCTTCAGTTTCTCGATTTCTTTAGTATCACTTCCAGTGACAATTATGTCATCAACATAGACAATCAGGATAGTGAGCTTTCCCTCTTGTCCATGTTTGATAAACATAGTGTCATCGGCTTGACTTTGGGAATACCCATCTGCCATCACAGTTTTAGAGAACTTCTGAAACCACGCTCGTGGTGATTGCTTTAGTCCATATAGTGACTTCTCCAGTTTACATACTGAGCCTCTACCATGCTTATTTTCCACTCCTTCGGGTATCTCCATGTACACTTCCTCACTCAAGTTGCCATTTAGGAAGGCGTTCTTGATATCCATTTGAAACAGTGGCCAGTCTTCATTAACTGCAATGGACATTAGTATTCGGACAGTCTTCAATTTTGCCACGGGAGCAAAGGTTTCTTGATAGTCTATGCCGTATGACTGTGTGAATCCTCTAGCTACCAGCCTTGCCTTATACCTTGCAACACTTCCATCCGAATTGTATTTGATGGTGAATATCCACTTGCAATCAACTGTCTTTTTCCCGGTTGGTAGAGGCACAATCCTCCAAGTTCCATTCTCTTCTAATGCTCTTATTTCTTCTAGAACAGCTTGTCTCCATTGAGGATGCTGCATTGCTTCTGCAATGGTCCTAGGAGTTGAGTCCAAATGGCTAGTGAATGCCTTGTACTCCTTACTTAGCTGTCCATAACTGACGTACCTTTGAATCGGGTGTTTAGTACATGACCTCACTCCCTTTCGTAGAGCAATCGGTTGATACACACTAGCTTCAGTATTCTCCTGCTGATTATCCACTTCGACTTCTGCTTCATCAACATTGTTATGAGGTGGCTGTTCTTCATTGTCCGAAGCCTCATCTTCTGTTCTAATTGTCATTTCTGGCTGTACTGAATCTGCTTCAGCTGGTTCAGCCCTATTCCGAGTGTGGTTTTTCCTTCGTCGTTGATACATCTTTCGAATTACCTGTTCGGGTCTCCTTTCCTGATCCCCAACTGGTATTTCATTAGCTGTTGGAGGAGTTATAGTGACATCTGGTGGAGGAGTTACTGTGACATTTGGCATAGTAAAACCATCCAAAGCAATCAGATTTTCCCACCCTTGATGTTCTTGTTCCAATGTCTCCTCCTGGACATCAGTGTGGGAGTAATATGAGTGATTCTCAAAAAAAGTGACATCCATGGAATTAAATACCTTCCGTGTGATGGGGGAATAACACTTGTATCCCTTTTGTCGAGAGGAATACCCGATGAACACACATTTCTGAGCCTTGGGGTCTAGCTTCGTTCGGTGATGTTGTTGCACATGAACAAAAGCTAGACAGCCAAACACCCTTGGTTCCAGATCCGAGAGATATGCCTCTGTGTGAGGGTATGCTTGAACCAAGATATCTTTCGGAGTCTGGTACTTAAGGATTCGACTAGGAAGCCTGTTGATGAGGTATGTAGCAGTCAATACAGCCTCTCCCCATAGGTGTTTGGGAACTTGATTTCCAAATAGTAGTGCCCTAGCCGTTTCCAATAAGTGACGATTCTTCCGTTCTGCAATTCCGTTTTGTTGGGGAGTATCTACACAGGAGCTGCAATGTACAACCCCATTTTGTGCAAGAAACGTCCCTAAGACAGAATTAAAGTAGTCATGAGCATTGTCCGTCTTGAGGACTTGTATTCTTGTCTTGAACTGAGTGAGAATCATATGGTAGAACTCCTTAAACACGCTGGTTGTTTCAGATTTTTCTTTCATCAAGAATGTCCAGGTAAGTCTAGTGTGGTCATCGATGAAAGTGACAAACCACTTAGCTCCATTGATGTTCTTGACTCGTGTGGGTCCCCATATGTCACTATGGATAATTGCAAACGGTTGGGTTGGTCTATAACTCAAACCCGAATAAACACTTCGAGTGTGTTTAGCCAACTGACATGTTTCACATTGCAACAACTTGGAGCTTTTATTCCGAAACAAATTTGGTAACAACCGTTCGAGATATCCAAAACTGGGATGACCTAATCGTGTATGCCATAACATGATTTGGCCATCTATCCTATCAGTACTACTAGTAGCTAGAGCCCTCCTTGTTCCTCTTGTTTCTTCATCACCACGTCCTTCAATGATGAAGAGGTCCTCATGCCTTTCAGCAGTTCCAATCGTCCTCCCGGAGCCTTCCTCCTGCAGGGAACAACGATTAGAACTGAATATGGCATTGCAAGACAAATCCCTAGTTATCTGACTGATTGACACGAGATTGCAGTTTAACTTGGGGACATGTAGGACAGGGAATAACTCTATGTACTGATTTAGTCGGATCCTTCCAATTCCTTCTACAGGAGATAGGCTGCCATCAGCTATTCTTACCCCAGCCTTGGTCGGATATCTCTGATAGTCACTTAATAATTCTTTATTTCCAGTCATGTGATCGGAACACCCTGAATCAACTATCCACTTAACACCTGATGTAGATTGGACTGAAAGAGCTGTAAACTGTTTACCTTGGTTAGCAAACATGCTTGTGAACATGCCTGCTTGATTCTGTTGGGATGGCTGCCCTATAGTCATTGCTTTGAAGAACTTCTCTAAGGCACCAGCTTGCTCTTTGATAAAAGGAGTAGGGGTTGATTCAGGTTCTGGTTTCTTCTCAGATGCCACAGCTGCCACATGAGCTCGACGTCTTCCAGCCCCATTATTGTTGTTTTTCTTTTCTCCTTTTGGTTTCCAGTTGGCTGGGAATCCGATGATGTACCAGCAATCAGCTCTAACGTGACCATGCTTGTGGCAGTTGTCACAATAGAGCTCGGACTCATCGTCATCCCGCTTTTGACTTGGGTGGTCCTGTGGCTTATTCTTCTGAGGATTACGAACAGCTAACGCTGAACTTTCCCCTTGGCTTGGCTTAGGATTGAGCATCAGCTGACGTCTGCTCTCCTCCCTTAATATCTCAGCAAAGACAGTCTCGATGCCGGGGAAAGGCTTCAATCCCATCATCCGACCCTTGATCTCATCTAGGTCTTGATTCAAACCAAGTAAGAAATACAGGGTTCGTTTCTTCTCAATGTACTGCTTGAATTTCTCTTGATCTCCAGGGGTCTCCCAATCGATTGCCTCGTACATGTCTAGGTGCAGCCAGTGGTGTCCCAGCAAGTTGAAGTAGTCTGTGACATCCATCTCCCCTTGTTTGAGTTGAAACAATTGTGTTTCAATCCGAAACAATGCAGATGTGTTATCAACCGTTGAGTAGGTGTTTCTGGCTGCATCCCAGATTGCTTTCGCAGAGGGATGGAGAAGGTAGTTTTCCCCGATACTTGGCTTCATGGAATGGATCAACCATGTTCGGACCAGGGCATCATTGTCATACCAGTTTTGATACAGGGGGTCTGTAGCTTCGGGGCGCTTGATGGCTCCGGTCAGATATCCTCCTCTGCTCCTGGCTGCAATATTCATCTCAACGGTTTTTGACCATTTGAGATAGTTCTTCCCGTCGAGCTTGTAACTCGTTAGGATGCTGAAAAAATCGGTGGAGGTTGGTGTTATGGTGCTGAAGTTGTTTGTTGGAGGAGCACTGCCTTCTGTATTCGTTGAGGAGTGACTGGAATCGTCTTTCGTCATGACGAAGATGGCGGGTTTTCAGAAAAATGAAGAAGGGAAAGAGGGATAGGAGAATACGGTCAGATCGACGGCGGAATTAGGTCAGACCAGGCTCTGATACCATGAAAGTGTTTGGAGAATCCTGAGGTTGTTTCCTCGGTTCTTTTTTTTCTTCTTATTATTAGCCTAACTTGGGCTGTCAATATATACACAGAGGTCTACTAGAGACCTTCCTAAGTTAGTGATCTAACATAAGGTAACTCCTCTAAATAATCAATTAAGAATATTTAGCTACTTAATCAGCAATAGCCACGTTATTCTCTTCACTCTATACTGAAAAAAAGTTCAAATTTCTTCATGCTGCTGTAAAAACACCTCAACTAGGCAAGCCTGTTGTAGATTATAATACCCATTTCATTGGCACGTTTTAGATCCCTGCCAGCCACCCTAATTGTGGTAGGGAAGATCTCTATTTCTTATTGAACGTGCAAGCTTATTTGTTACAGCATTTCAATGCCATGCAGGAAGGTTCCTCAACGTCTGTACGCTAGGCAACGAAAAAACTCATCGTTTAGACTTTAGGTAGAGAATTAGGCATTCATAATGTCTAGCGTCTTCTTCAACTTTATTAATAAGAGTATGTCGATCTTTGATGCAAATCTTGAGTTGGAGAGCCGTCATTTTCAACTTAACAACTTGGTGCTTGTTCTTTCAGTACATTCCTACTGAGTTTGTGAAGAAATACAGATCCAGGCTAGGCAGCAATGTAACACTGAAGGTCGCTAATGGTGATAGATGGGAAGTAGAGCTGGCTACCGATGACGATGGGCTGATTTGGCTGATTAAGGGCTGGGAAGATTTCTCAAAGCACCTTCTTTGAAGCAAGGTGATATTCTGGTTTTTTGGCTAGAGCAGGAGAGCTTCTTTCACGTCATGGTGCTCGATCCCACTGCAAGCGAGAAGAAGTATCGTTGCAAGGATGTGAATAGCCTTGGGAGACTGTTGAGTGAGATCAAAGTTGAGGATGAAGTTGATTTTGGGATTGGAAGGGAGGAGGTTGAAGGTTGTCAAGGTACAGAATTCCTGCGAACACTAGAAATTTCGAAGGTCCTCTTTTTTGTTGTTGTGGTGAACAGAATGTTCAAGAGCTCATTGCCAAGTTCAAGTGTTGTGAAGTGTAGAGTTTCTTTCTAATCCCCATGATTTTTAGTTCAGAATATGAAAGGCTAATGCGGAATTCTTTCTCTCCCATCAACCAATTTCTGCAGGGAAGCTGGAGCAGAAGAAGAACAAAAATGGCGGTGGCAAAGAGGAGAGAAAGGAGAAACTGGCTTCTCCACTGAAGCATGTTCCCACCAAGGTTGAGAGACCAAACCATCCATCAAAGACAGAAATGAGAGGTACACATACTAACCTTTGGAATTGGTAATCTTGGGTTGGCACAGTGAGTTGAGTATGCTGCTAAAGAGTTGGTAACCTTCACAAAATGTAATTTCATAGCTAGAGTTAAATGCTTGCATTTCACAATTCATATTTGACCCCAATCACCAATACAGGAATTCAAGAACCAAGGAGGGAAATTGCCTCCACAAATCCAAATTCTCCATCACCATAAATGCAGGTCACTTGAAGCGTCTTCGTACTGTAGGTTCATTCATTTCCATCAAACGAATTCACCTTTGTCTTTCGAGGAAGTTTTCGTCATAACCAAAATTTGAAAGCTACCTCTCTTTTGAATGTGCAGCTTCTGCCCACTACTTTTGTGTATGAGCACATGATGCCTGAACATGGCACAGTGGTGGTTTCAGATGAAGAGGGGCTCGGCTCATGGCCCCTGTCCTTCGTCCTTCGCCAACGTGAACGTGAACGTGGACAGGGCTCGTTCATTGGTGGTTGGCCGGCGTTCTCTAGGGACAACTCTCTGAAACTAGGGGATGTTTGTCAGTTCGAGCTCATCTCCGAGGGCCAAATGAAAGTGAGTATTCGGAGGGGTTAAGAATGGTTGGATGTGCTGATAGTCTAGAATGGAGTTTTGTTGGTTGTATGTGTTTACTTATGGATGATGATGGTGATGAAGCTTATGAAACCACCATTAGTTTTTATTTGAGTGAATTAATGATCAAGCTTGGTGCAACCTCGTGATGCCAATGAACTTGGCTATGAAATCACTTTGAGAGAATTCTCTTTAAAAAGTCTGTTCTCACTTCTTATGCTTGAGCCATTTGTGGCTCAAATGCATGTTCATGATTCATTTTTTGCACTAAAATATGAATCCAGATTTCAGTTGAGCTCTGCAAGAGCTAATAGGGCATATAATGACCAGGGAGTTTGTTTAATCAAGGAAAATGGATCGAGAGGTTATCTTGGTTTGGACTTAACTCCATGTCATTATACTTGGAATGGTAATTCATTTCCATAAAGAGTAAGCCTACTCACTATCATTTACTATTTTGGCATGGTAAGTTCTTTTTCAAAAACAGGTGATATAAGTGTACTTTTTGTTATTTATGTACTATTTAAGAGAATCGAATCTGGGATCTTTCGATTCAAGTTCAATGATATTACCACTAAAACAAATCCTTGTTTGTAGGCATGGTAAGTTCCTTAGGGACTTGTTTCTTTTGAATTTTGATTCTACCGCACAAGTTGCATAGTAACAGGGTTGGAGAGCATGGTAAATTGGTAATGGAGAAAGGTTGAATCTTTTTTTTTTTTTTTAATTTCTCTGGAATCTAATTGGGGGTGATCTCGATGGGTTTTTTTGCAGTATTGTGCAAGAGCTCCAGCAGGGGCGTGGCTGGACACTGAATTCGCACCAGCCAGCAGCTCACAGCCTGATTTCATGACCATGTTTTTTGGGCCTGAATTCCTCTGTTCTAAGCTCTACCAACTCTGTTCCAAAGAGGTATTTCCATTTTCACTACCAAGCTACGTGCTTTTTTTTGCTTTTCTCTCCTCTCTGATTCTGGGTTTCTTCGTGTTTCCCATAAAAAGGATATGGAGCTGGCGAAGGCACTGGCGAGGCCGAGCTCCCTCTATTTGCACGATCTCAGAAAAGCAGAGAAGTTTACAGAGGAAGGGTGTGGTTCAGTGAGCAGAGTCTATGTGATTTGCAACGAGGATCGAGGGATGGAAGAGGAGTTCCAGCGATGGATGATTCAGAATTACGTTGTGGAAGATGTGATGGAGATCAAGGAATCGGATCATATGGCGATGCTCTCTGTACCCGGAAAGCTCTTCGATTGTCTCTGTAAGATAGCAGAGAATTACTCTTGATCGGTAGTACGAGTGAAAGTGCACAGAGAAAAACTAGATCTGTGCCCGGCCCTTAGGCCGGGTTGGTTTTTTCAGAGATTGTGTTGTTGTTAAGCTCTATGTCTTCTATGGTGTTCTGGTGTGACCTGATTTTTCATTGTTTGTCATGTGAACACAACTAACTGATTGTTGGTGTTGTGTGCTTTGTTGTGTTAGATATTTGACTCAAATATGGAAAGGTAAAAAGGCAACATTGGCAAAGTGGTTCAAGATACATAAATAAAATGTTCAAGAGACTACTTATTTTCCATTTTGTAATCTTTTGTAAGAAATCATAAGCTCAACAACCTATCTACTCTTTCTATAAAAAAAACAACAACCTATTTACTCGGATATAACTTTCCAAGTTCATAATCTTAACGTTGCATTGTCTGGGTGTTATAGGTAAGCATGTTGTTGCAACTCCAGAATGCATATGAGGACTACAATACTTTTTCACATCTTGGAACTTAGTGTTGTTGTTGCTCCTGCTATAAATGTACAACAGTAAATGAAATGTGGAAATTTGGTAAAAGAGATTCAATAAATCAACACCCAAGGCAGTCATTTCTTGGTAAATTGGGTTCACTTGGCTCACATGGCAGCATTATTTTGGATGACTCTTCATCAAAGTACATTAATCAATTTTTCCGCAAAGCTGTCAAAACTTTTACATGATTCAACAATGGTAACAAAATTACATAGGCATAATCAGTAAAATTTATTAGAGAACTTCGATAGTACATTTTCTTGAACTCCATACAAAATTATATATAGAGAGAGAAAAACAACGATGATAATTATTACCTCGTGCTTGCCTGCCTTGGAGTTTGACGAAAACATTGGGACACTGCTAACTCTAATCATTTTTTCCACTCTTCCAAATGTCAAGGATTTTTCACGATCGATTTTTACTCTTAACTTCGAATATGTTACATCAGGGTTTAGCATTTTATTTGCTTCAAATCAGAACCAAAATAGACGATGGAAAGTACATGAGAATGAATTGACAAATGACGCAATATAAAGATTTAGATAGGAAAAAAGAGCGTACATTTTCAACATATGAAAGGTCGATTCTAACTGGTCGGGAACTATGAAACTTTGAAATCAACAGGCAGTAAGCAACGGTTCCTTCGCCACAAAATAGCAAAAAAGGAGAAAGAAAAACAGGGTTAAGTAAGATTCAGTAATCAACTCAATTGCAAGATTGACATAAAATCAAAGTTTCAAGCAATACGTAAAAGGAACAATAGATTCAAAATCCAAATTTATACCCACAAATACAAAACAAACTACCATTGCAAAGCAAAAGTAGAGCTTTCACATCCGAATCTTGCAGCAGCAAATTCAAACTTCCATTATCGTCTTGGTATTGGGAGTGTAGTTTGAGCGTTGTAAAAAGGTCAGTGACGGACAGGCAATTTGCATAGTTTAATGGCGTGAGTAAGACGACTCCGGGCGGATGGAGATTGGAGAAGGGGAATCGGCGATACGATTCGCCAAGCAATGACCGCGCTGTATGCGGCTGGAAAAAGCAAATTAGGTGTGGAGGTCGGGGGAGCGGCGGTTGTCGCCCTACAGCGGGGATTTCTATTCATAACTTGATCAAAGAAACACTCACGACAGATCAAACAGAGTTGTTTGGCGAGGTGCCGATGGGCAGAGGAAAACCGGGCCAATCCATGACGAACAGTTGCAGACGTCGCCCAACCCTCCCCGCCTGAGTTCGGTTCTATAGCGGCAGCCGACGTTGGAATCTTAAAGAAGACGACGATAAGAAGTCCTATAGGGATGGGATGGGGAGGATAAACATCATTCCAATTTCAAATAATCTATAAGAATAGAGCGGGTGGGGGTGAAGGGAACCTCTGCTGACGTGGATAGCCTCAAATGTCAGGAAGGAGTACGTGGACATGGCTTAAATCTAAAAGCCTTTTAATAATTTTATAGATAGAAGATAGATAGATAGATAGATAGATAGATAGATAGATAGATAGATAAGACACCTTTATTATTATTTTAGTTATAACAATACATAGAAAGTGTCGTTTGCTTTTAGCAAATTACCGAATAAGAAATACGAGATGATATTGTGGGAGCGATTGATAAAATTGTGCAAATCAATTAAATGGTAATTGGTTAGGTTGATGATATTGGGTAAAATAATTATAGCACGTTTAACAATTATTTTTTATATTTTATAACTGATGAATCTTTTAAACATATTAAACCAAAACAATGTATAAAATTCCGTATATATTAATACCGCAACATATGTATGTTGATCAAACATGCACATAAGCTAACCAAGCGAGAAAGAGATGAGGTTAAAAAGAACAAATTGATAAAGTAGCAAATTTGAGTGTAAATATCATATCAACAATATTACGGCTTATAATTAATTTAAACGTGATACTTTGTGACATGTGGTATTATATGTGGTAACTGATCGCGAATAATATGTTTGACAACTCTAATAGTTGAATCATAAATCTATAATATAAATATAGGCGATTCCGTAAAACCTGTGTAACTGTACAAACTGGTTTGACAACATTACCCTAAATGTAGGCATATATATACTATCCCAGGGAACCATTGCAAAGAGTTTACTTTTTTTACAATTACAATTTACAAACCGATTGCAAGAAGGCAAAACTTAGATATAGATTTGTTAATCCATCGCTTTTATGTAATGAACATGATTGTCAACCACTCAATTGGGAGCCCAACAGCTTATGTACATAATAATTCTAAGTGATTCTTCCACATGCTTAACCTTTTTACATTCTTTCATCATTCTGCTATTCAAATTAGTGGTGGCACTGGAGCGATTACTCGTACTATTTGATGAATTAGATGATGATGATGAAGAAGAGGAATCTTTCAAAGCCTTACTGGTCTCATAATTCTCTGAAATTCCTTGCATTGCTGGTCGACCCACGAACTTCGAACTCATACCCTATGCAATAGAACAACTCAAGAACCTAGAAGCTCCTGCCAATATATATATTGTTAACTTAGTGAATGATGCTTTACATATATGATGATAATTGGTTTCTTACGAATGAGAGGAAAATCTGTAGAGAAAACCTTATATATAGGCCTATCAAAAAGCTTAATTTAGTGTGCAACTAGGCAAATTTGGGAAGAACACTTTTGAATAAGTATATATAGCTATTGTAACGACGAAATCCAACATGTCGATGCGTGATTCGTTTGGAAATGGCAAAACATTGCCTAGTTTGTTGTTAGTTTTGTGGGTTTGGGTGGATTTAGTGTTGTATTACTACGTGTGCTAAGATTGGAAAATAATTGTTCGTTGATAGAGGTTGAAAACTTAAAATGGGTACATTGTTGTTTGTTTTGGATAACAAATGAAGTTCGATTGATTAATAAAAATGATATGTTTTATTAAGAGTGTGTAAGTCGCCCAAGAAATAAGCACCAAAACTAGAATGGTTGTGTAATATGAAGTCTAAAAAGCAGACCCAAGATCTTTGAATGTATAACAAGGTTATGGATAACTATGCATAATCCTATATTTATGGATGTTAACTTACTTTTTCGCATGAGTTATTACAAAATAAGTCATTTGGTCAAATGTAGACATTTGAGAAATGTAAAATTTGTGAATATATACATTTACAAATGTTTTGTTTGTTTAATAATTTTTAGATGAGTTATTCTTAAATGGGTCACTTGTATAATGTTGTCATTTGCTCTTACATTTAATATTTCATTATCTTGTTTCCTATCCTAATAAAACAATTGCAACTACTATGAGTCATGTATAATACTTATAATTTTAAAGAACATTCTCACAATTGTCTCATCTCATAGTTGTCTTATAAAACACATCATTTTACACTACTTTTCTTTTCTTTGTCAATTTAAAATGATATAAACACAAAACAATTCAAATTGATTCATCCCAATTGTTGCATCCACATCTAGTGTTGCCAAACGTGGCTATTTGACCTAATTACTTCATTTTGACGCAATTGAACCAAATTATCTCATCAAATTTCTCCCTTTGAATATCATTATTCAATTCAAACGACCTCAAACTTATGCAAAAACAAGACAACTTAAATTTTCTCATCACAATTATTACATCCACATTTTGTGTTGTCAAACCAAATTATTTGATCCAATTACATTATTTTGAAACGATTTAACCATATTATCTCATCCAACTCCACCACCTCTACCTACAATAACACCGATTTAACAACGTTGGTGTATCAACACGCCAGGAAACCTCAATACACTATACATCCTCATTTCCAGCAAACTCCAACCCCGCAGAAAACAGAACAAAAGGCAGGTAATGGCTGGAACAGGGAACGGAGAAGGGAACAAGAGCAGCTCTGGTGGCTGCATTTAACCACCAGCTCCGCGACTTTAACGGTCACGAAAGGAGGACTGCTGCAGCGTACGAGCCGAAGATAGCCGAGCTTCGCAGAAAGATTCAGGAAGCTGAAGAGCAAGTTGAGCGGGAAGTAGAAGAGGCTCGCAGGAACTACCATGCTGCCTGTGCCAAACTACTGAAGGATTGGGTTGATGAGCAAGGAAGCGAAGAGTCACTTGAGGGAGATTCCGCTTCATTAGTAAAATCTAAGAAGACCAAATATGTCATTCACCGCATTAACTATGTTGGCTCCTTCAATACAAGAGAACTGTGATAATGGTCAAAGTAGCTCAGAAGTGTTTCGCCTTTTTACATTAAGATCACCCACTACATACAATCACAATTCAGTAGTAATATAAATTGGCCAGATTAACTTTTACTATGGGAGGGGAACGCCAAGAGGCAATCCTTCATTCATCAAGTATACTTGCTGGCAAGCTCCAAAAGGTAAGTGCAGAGCTCATGTGGTTTTGAGAACATAGCCATGTGATCAGCTGAAGATATGGGCTTGACATCGTCAGTTGGGTTGTTCTCGATCATCCACCTCTGCAGATCCGGCTTGTAAATTTCGTCTGCTTCACAGACGACGTAAACTCGAGGAACCAATCCAAATTTCTCGCTTGTCAGGGCTATTTCAGCTTCTGTTTCCTCATCGTTGAAGAGAGGGCAGGGTCTTATTAGCATCATTCCCAGTGTTAAATCCTGTAGCATAGGACAGCAGTAGGTCATCTGAATGCCTTGCAATTCATCAGCAATTCCAAATGTGTCGCGTATTAACATTAGCATTTACTTAACTCAGCACTGTAGGAAACAAGTTTCCTACGGGTCTCCTGATCCGATCTAGAGATTGGGAATTTAGGGTTTATAGAACAGAATTGGGGATTTAGGGATTTGAGAAGAGAATTTGGGGAAGAACAGAAAGAATGGCCGGCGGCCAGATTAGGGAAAGAACAGAAATTGAGAGGGTCTGGGAAAGAATAGGGTTTAGGGATTTTCTTAATATGCTTCTTATTACTCATTACTAATGAATCACAAGTACATATTTATAGGGAGTACTAGCAAACCCTAATAATAATCCTAACTTGACTAAAATACTACTAACCATATTTAATAAAACCTAATAATAATGCTAATGATAATGATGACATAGAAACCCGTTTTCGTTAGAAAACGTGTTTCTAACATCCCCTCCCCCTTGAGACCAACCTTGCCCTCAAGGTTGACCGATTCGACCCACGTCTTCGCCTCTCTTGTGCTATCAGTACGCCAACTGCTCCGTGTCTTGCGCTTCCTTTTCTTCCAATCAGGCTCCACTACTTGAACGAATCTCATGCCAGCAACTTCGACTCCCATGGCTTCTCCCTTACCCACATGGATCGTGTCACAACCCCGACCAAATGACTCTCCAAATGACTCTCCTAACTCCTTTTCAAACTCTATAAAATAAGAGTCAGAGAGTTGTTCTTCCTTGAGCATATCCTCATTAACCACCTTAAAGTATTCGATGGATTGCTCCATTGACTTCGCTAAGTACTTGGTGGTGTTGACGATCCATGACTGCTCCCAGCTCCCTTTGCCATCTTCCTTAGTTCGGCCCATGATAACTTCAAAAAAAGAATTATGGCCCAAACCAATTTGAAGTTTTTGTGCACTCCTCCTTCTAATTTTGTTTGGGCTTGTCTCCTTTAAAGACCCACTAGTTAAGCCCACCAAACTCTCTTCTTCGTTTAAGTTATGTCCCTGCAAACTAAAATCAATAAGACAACCCATTGAAACTCGGCCCAAGGAGAGCCCAATAGACTTCTCACTTCTCAGCCCGTATCCAAACCAATCCACTGCTCTTAGCCCATTCTGATCTGATCCGCCCAACATAAGCTCGGCGAATTTTTTCTCACGGACCAGTCCGTGACTGAGAACCCTTCTAGCCGGCCCATCAAACCCGTAGATCCGAACAGAGCGGCCCACGAACTGGAGCACGGCCCGCCCGACTTGTTGCTTCTGAGTGAGGCGAACTAGGGTTGCAGGGGAGAGGTAACAGCCACCCTCCCTCGTCGTTTCCCTCCCCAGCGGCACACAAGCCACTCGCCGACGGCGAGACCTACCCAGCCGACACGGAGATTCGCGCGCTGCAGGTCGCTTCTCCGACTCCGCCTCCGCGTCGGTGGTCCTCGGCTCTTTCCTCGACGCTTCCCTTCCCGAAGGTGCCCGCTTCGCCTCCTTCTCCCGCGACAAGGTCGTCAGGCGGCTAGGGGGGCAATCCGACCCACCACCTCTTATCTCCGCCACCTCGTCGCTCGATGTCCGGAAGGAGGAAGGGAAATCGTCGCCGCCCTCCTGTTTCTTCTCATCGGCCGTCATTGCCACGACTCGAGCCGCTAGTGAGTGCGTCAGTGCTGCGGCGGTTTGCGATGCCGACGAACTAGCCCGACAGTTTGCAGTCGTCTCCTCTCCGCATTGTCGGTGGCTGGCGCTGAGATCTGTCCGTCCCTCGTCCAACTTCACCCACAGTAGCGGCGAATTCTCTTCTCCAAAGACCTTCGAGATCAATGGTCTCTCGCGGTTCCTCCTTTCTTCGCGTTGGAGACCCTCTTCCACCATTTTCTTCTTTCTGAACTTCCAATTTGATTCTTGTAGAAAGTCCCAAAATAAACCAAGATCATAATCAGCAGCGTAATCTTCCAAACCTGGTCTCGTTCGCGTCGAGGAAGTATGGCTATCAAGTGATTCATCCCCTATTCTGTCGATTGAGGGAACAACAGGGACGGTCCGAATTTGAACAGCAGCAGGGGTTACAAAGTCCCCTTCTTCGACTGCAGCAACGTCAGTAGCTCTGATTGCCCTCTCCAGCACCTGGGTCTCTCGCCGCTGCTGCTCCTCTGTCGCGTCTCCGGCCACAGCCTCCTCCTCCACCACCGGTTCCGTGTCGCTCCCTTCAACGGTGACTTCCACCGCTTCGTCGGTCTCGGCGGACATTGGTGGTCGCTCGCCGTCGGCGATTCGGGTCACCTTCTCTGCTTGCACGGTCGGCGACTCTTCGGAGCTCCAACGGCGTCCGATGCGTCGAGCCCGATCACGCAACTCTGTCCACGATAGGTTCGAGAGCTTTGAAGAGCTCATCGTCGAACCAGTTGTAGAACTCGTCCCCGGTTGAGAGTTGTGGCGAACTCAATTCTCGAACCGGGCTCTGATACCAGATGTAGGAAACAAGTTTCCTACGGGTCTCCTGATCCGATCTAGAGATTGGGAATTTAGGGTTTATAGAACAGAATTGGGGATTTAGGGATTTGAGAAGAGAATTTGGGGAAGAACAGAAAGAATGGCCGGCGGCCAGATTAGGGAAAGAACAGAAATTGAGAGGGTCTGGGAAAGAATAGGGTTTAGGGATTTTCTTAATATGCTTCTTATTACTCATTACTAATGAATCACAAGTACATATTTATAGGGAGTACTAGCAAACCCTAATAATAATCCTAACTTGACTAAAATACTACTAACCATATTTAATAAAACCTAATAATAATGCTAATGATAATGATGACATAGAAACCCGTTTTCGTTAGAAAACGTGTTTCTAACAAGCACCTTCATACTATCTATAATTCATACTTCGCAATAATATCTACACCTTTGAAATCGCTAAACGAAATTGTCACTTAAGCTTCTCGCCACTTCCACGATTGTTAAAGTTTAACCGATAAAGAGGCTCTGAGGTAACTCCTGGTCTAGTAATGGAGGTAAAAATAGAAGATCAGGGTGTTCAGGGTGTTACCTCAGGTGGGGAGAGCTGGTACAATTTAGTTGACATCAGCTTTGGTCCAAACAGCATGCTGGTCGGAGGATTTTGAGGACCATTGTGGAATGAGAAGTGGCTATCCATGAAATCCATTCGCTTGAGACACTGCATAGAAGTTTTCCGTACTACGAAAGTTAATGAATTGCAGAACGAGTCCAAGAGAAAAGCAACGATAAGACCACCAAAGGGGTAGGAGTTATTCGGAGAAAGATAGATGGGTAAACTAAAAGTCTGCAACTTATTGTACCCAAAACGGATAAAAGTTTGTAACTTTATACTCAAATCCAAAGTTGATTAAACACTCTAATACGATGTGAAACTGAAAAACCAATTTATCCAACAAAGAACGAGAAAGAGAAGGGGAAAAGAACCTCTTCTCTTGGAAAAGAGTAGCCGACACCGGGATGAGGAGCTGGCATAATAGCCGCTACATACACTGCAACAGCTACTTTCTCTGCAAATATTTCCATTGCTACAGATATCGCAACACCAACCATACTATGTCCAACTAAGATCACCTTCTCTTCTTCTCCTGTTAAGGAAGCCATCAACTCCATCAGCGGCGCGAGGTAGTCCGAGACCGAACCCATCTCGGTAACCTGCTTTGGATGGATCCCAGAAGCGCCCAAGTCGAGAGCGGTCACTTTATAGCCAGCTTGTTTCAGTAAAGGAACAACCTTGTACCAACACCAAGCTCCATGGCAAGCTCCATGGACCAGCACGAAATGATGATGACGACGACTCTGTTTCTCCTCCTCCATCTGGCTCTTCTCTGCTTACAGAAACTCCCAACTTCCCCTCAAATTATGATATTTCCCTTCTCCTTGGGATGATGCTACGCAGTCCACAAACTTCCAAACCATCACAAGATAACCCACTTTTTCCTTTGGCTGAAATCATAAGTTTCCACTAATAAAGCCAAACGTCCATCCTGTCAAAACAATAAATCCTTCGGGTATATCAGACTATCCAGAATGACCCAATTCGTAATAACTACAGTTTGAATTACTACCTAACCTGCCTAGTGCCTACTCGCTGGGCCATGCTAACATGACCTTTGAAGTGACAGGAAACGCACCAAGTTTGACAATTCCTGAACCTCAGCACCAGAACTATCTCCTGGTACTTGAAAAAGTCAATAGCAGAGTCCAATCAGCAACCAGAAACTTCTATTGACTACCAATAGGAACACCCGTCAGGCCGACCAGTGCGGCCAGTCCCACTCGGTCAGAAAAATTATGCAACTTCTGCAATTGCGTATAATGAAAGCCCGCAAGAGGAAGGAGCATAATTCGAAAATTTTACCTTTCGTCCAGAAACAAAGGTTAATAAGGTTGAAGAATCAGAGAACCTTCAAGGTTACTTGGAGCCACACCTTGAATATCGAGTTGAACTCTAGCAACCTATTATAATGATCTCTCCTTCAACTGGAAAAGATAGTTCTTTCTAAGCAAGTAGCCTAGGAAAAGCCATCGTGATTGCCGCAGAGTTCCTCAATTTTTGTCAACCTGCAATAAAGAACCAACCAACCATAATTCCTGTAAGAGACCGAGTACAATGAACTTGGTTCTGGAACGAGAAATATGATTTCATATTTCATACATATTTGTTTTCGTTTGTCACTAAGAAGAGAAAGGAACTCTGCCGCTTCTCCAGACATGGATCAACGGCCGCTTAATTATAGAAGAGAAAGGAACCCTGCTCCGTCAGCCCTCAGAAAGGTTTCGCCTTTTTCACATTAAGATCAACCACAACACATACAATTACACTTCAGTAGCACTCTATAAATTTGCCAGATCAACTTTTACCACGGGTGGCGAAGCCAGAGGCAATCGTTCACTCATCAATCATACTTGCTGGCAAGCTCCAAAAGGTAAGTGCAGAGCTCATGTGGTTTTGAGAACATTGCCATGTGATCAGCAGAAGATATGGGTTTGACATCGTCAGTTGGGTTGTTCTCGATCATCCACCTTTGCAGATCCGGCTTGATGATTTCGTCTGCTTCACAGACGACATAAGCTCGAGGAACTGATCCATATTTCTCGCTTGTCAGGGCTATTTCAGCTTCTGTTTCCGCATCGTTGAAGAAAGGGCAGGGTCTTATAAGCATCATTCCCAGTGTTAAATCCTGCAGCAAAGGACAGTAGTAGTAGATCATCTTAACCCTTGCAATTCATCAGCAATTCTAAATGTCGACCACTTTGTGTCACTTATCAACTTTAGCATTTACTTAATTAAGCAATTTCAATTTCAGTTACTGGGTCCATCGTAACATTTTGATCTTGAGGAGAACAAAGAATCAGCTTACTACAAGAAAGCGAAAGGGTTAAACTGTTTACAATATGGGGGTTTTCCCAGCACAACTTCATATTTGGGAATAAGATCTACACCTTCGTAATTGCTAAACAAAATTGCCACTTCAGCTTCTCGTCACTAAGTCAACCAATAAAGATGCTCTGAGGAAACTCCTGGTTTAATAATGGACGTAAATTGAAGACTGGGTGTTCAGGGTGTTACCTCAGGCAGGGAGAGCTGGTACAATTTAGTTGACATTGCCTTGAGTCCAAACAATACACTGGTCGGAGGATTTTCAGGACCATCATGGAATGAGAATTGGCTATCCATGAAATCCATTTGCTTGAGACACTGCATAAAATTTTCCGCATAATTTAAAGTTAATGAGTTGCAGATCAAGTCGAAGAGAAAAGCAGAGATAAGACAACCAAAGAGGTAGGGGTTGCTCGGAGAAAGATGATGTGTAAACTAAAAGTCTGCAACTTTCTGTACCCAAAAAGGATGAAAGTTGGTAACTTTATTACTCAAATCCAACGTTGATTAAAGGCTCCAATACGATGTGAAACTGAAAATCCAGTTTACCCAATAAAGAACGAGAAAGAGAAGGGAAAAGTACCTCTTCTTTTGTAACAGAGTAGCCGACACCAGGATGAGGAGCTGGCATCAAAGCTGCAACAAACACCGCAACAGCTACTTTCTCTGCAAATTTTTCCATTGCAGCAGATATCCCAACACCACCCATACTATGTCCAACTAAGATCACCTTCTCTTCATCTCCTGTTAAGGAATCCATCAACTCCATCAGCGGCGTGTGGTAGTCCGAGACCGAACCCAGTTCGGTAACCTGCTTTGGATGGATCCCAGAAGCGCCCAAGTCGAGAGCAGTCACTTTGTAGCCAGCTTGTTTCAGTAAAGGAACAACCTTGTACCAACACCAAGCTCCATGGCAAGCTCCATGGACCAGCACGAAATGATGATGACGACGACTCTGTTTCTCCTCCTCCATCTGGTTCTTCTCTGCTTACAGAAACTCCCAACTTCCTCTCAAATTATGATATTTCCTTTCTCCTTGGGATGATGCTACGCGGTCCACAAACTTCCAAACCATCACAAGATAACCCACTTTGTCCTTTGGCTGAAATCAAAAGATTCAACTAATAAAGCCAAACGTCCATCCTGTCAAATAATAGATCCTTCGGACGGCAGACTATCCAAAATTACCCAATTCGTAATAACTAAATTTTGAATTACTGCCTAACCTGCCTACTCGTTGGGCGATGCTATCATGACCTTTGAAGTGACAGGAAAGGCTGAAATACTGGGGAAGTTCAAGATGATTAACTTAAAAGCTGAGGAAATTTCGAAATCCAAGTTAGGCAATTCCTGAATCTCAGTACCAGAACTAGATCCTGGAACTTTGAAAAAGTTAATGGCAGAGTCCAATCGGCAACCAGAAACTTCTATTGACTATCAATAGGAGCACCCATCAGGTCCAACAGTGCGGCCAGTCCCACTCAGTCAGAAAAAATTATGCAACTTCTGCAAGTTTGTATGATGGATGCCCGCAAGAGGAAGGATCATGGTTCTCTCTTAGCAAGCACTCTAGAAAAAGTCATCATGATTGCTGCAGAGTTCCTCAAATTTTGCCAACCTGCAAAAATGGACCAACCAAACACAATTTCTGTAAGAGACTGTGTACAATGAATTTAAGTTGCTTCAGGAAAAGGCAGAGAAAGGGACTCAAGGTGGATAACGCACCGTTGTATGAGAGCTTTAGGGTTATACGGAAACAGATTCTTCCGGTGAAGATTTTCTATAGAAACTTTCAAAGATAGCAGACAATCTTTCGCCTCGATGAATGCAAGCCTTATGCATTCGTTTTGCTTACAACTACTGTCAGTGTCTATCTTAACTTTATCATTAAGAGAGGGATAAGTGTCCATGGTTGGCGATGCAGAGGGTTGGTCTGCCTGGAAGTCAGGACCATCTTCCAAGATTTTTTGCTTTTTTCGAGATAAATTATGCATAGCATTTTCGTCAACGGAGAACTCTATGAATAAATGCCAGGCACTGCATGTAACCCTTAAACACCTAAAGATCAAGGGTGATTGATCAGCAGAGCAACAGATTGAAAGAGTCAACTTATGACAACTGACTCTCAGGATTGATGAGTTAAGACTACACTGTCCAAACTGCAAGTTACCTTAATAGGTACTCTGCACAACTAATTCCAAGATCCTTGGAAATAAGGTAATCAAGCAGCACTTGATGATCATAGTGCAACTACAAGAGAATGAGAAGTATTTAGAAGATCAAAACAAAAAGGCAGAGAGGTCTTGTGGCCAATTAATACCAAAGCCTATATATAATTGGGAGTCACCTCTGAGAGTAATAGATGGAATAAGTTCACTGGACTGAAAGCATTTGAAACTAGAAATCCAATATACTCTTCTGCATCCTGATATGTTTGTTTCTTTCCCTCTAACCTGTATCAGGCAACCAATTAGGTTTTTATAACAGTGAAATAAATTGAACTAGTTATAGTCAATACTCACTGCTGCTCCAAACAAGAAGATGCAGTAACCAACTGCAGGAGAACCTTAAACAATAAGTCATCCTGCACCGATATCAAACAGTAATTAGAACATGCGACGTGGCAAGAAATCCTTGATTTGCTAACGCCTATAAGGGTCTAATATAAAATACATTTGCTAAGATTTTCATGTAAGAGACATCAATCTTAAGAGAACATGGTCTATTGTAGCCAACTAATCCCTGAGTTAAGAAGCTTCTAACCTCATGCAAGTATAGCTGGAGAAAAGATCTTGCAAAAAGTATACACTTGTCCACGTGCATTTCCTTTCCACATAAGAAGCTATCTCGGAGGTGGGCTTGGAACCATTTGTAGAGCTCAATAAATCCTTTACTTCTACCAGAAAAATCAGGGTCAGAGACCATGTTGACAGCCGAGAGAGAGTTATGAGCTTTAAGAAGTTGCTTGGTATTCTCTCCTGTCGAGCTGATCAAACTGAAGCAGCACCTAAGAAATAGGAGTATGGCCTGCCTTTGAGAATGAAGGGAATGCCCCATGTGTTGTGCTTCTCCCTCAGAGACGCTAGACAGAAACGGGGAGCCTTCTAGGCAATCATTTTGACAAGTCTTAACCTTAGACATGGGTTTCAAAAGTAGCTCTTCAAAGTAATCATGGAGAAGTTTCAACCAGGAGACAAGTGTGGTGCAACTTATATGAGTTCCATAACTAAGCCTCAGCAGTAACATCTGCAGAAAAATGTTGCAGATCTCAAAAACCTGAACCAGTCAATCAAAGACACAGCATAAAACTTCATGACAACAGCATATCACAATGAACCAGTAAAACAGTGGAAACTATCTATCATTATATAATGTCTTGGAATGCTTTTCGAGACAAGAAATCCTACTTTCTACTTCGAATTAATCTACCCATGAAAATAAATGAAGCAAGGTCTTACCAGCAATTTGTGAGTGAAATACTGAAAGGTGGACTGTTTGGCCCTATTCTCTGCCTTGCCAAGGCACCAAAGAAAAAGTTTAGGCACAAAATTAATAACTATGGGAAGAGTTGAATGTTGATCTTGGAGATGGACTTCAGATTCTGAAGCTACAGTTTGCTCAACCAATGAGCAAAGAAATGAGATCAAACTACCCAAGAACACAACTTTTGGCTCTTTTGTACAGAACTCGTCCATCCGAACCCAGGGCACATTTGACAGAAAAGGATAGACATATTTGTTGTTAACTCGAAGAAGCTGACCATCAGACTCTTCCTTCAAATTTTTCAGTATATTCCGCAAGATTTGGATTACATGAGATGCAGTGGACCAGTCTGCATTTCCCAGACAACGATTTAAGAACATTAGACTTGAGGATCCAAAATGCAAATCCTCATTGGCATTTGAAATTGGAGAACAGGACAACAGGTGTTTGACAATCAATTCCAGACACATCCAGAGCGAACGAACCAAAGAGTCCCAGTTACTGACCTGTCAAAACATTCACAAACGATTTTTGAAATTATGAATTGTTATGTACCCTCAATAGACTGACAATGGAAGCAAACCACAAACTCACAGAAGGAGCCAGGAGCTCAGAAACAGCCACAACAATCTTTCCCGCCGAATGTTGTACGTATTGACTGTCAACTGTAAGTAGAAGAATCTGCATCCCATAGGAAATGACAATGTTAGACAACGCAACTTCAAATAAATTAACAAGCACATAAGTAAATGATACATCCAAATTAACCTCGCTCAATTGAATAGATTTAACTCTACATGTTCATCTTATCAAAGCAACTTCAGGCGCAGTCAGTGAGTGGAGAGAGTGCTTACCAAGTCAGCTAGGACTTTCATCAAACAGTTATGCTGCTCATGTGCATCCGCCGATAAACATTCAGAAACCATGGTCTCCTGTTCAGAAATTCATCTCAGAAACCTTAAGCTTCCATCTGGAAACCAACTTGTTCATAGAAATTCAGTGGGGGGGGAATCAAGGAGCTTACTTCATCGGAATCAACCTCCATTTCACGAATCCAGACCTGAATCTCTTTGTAAACCTAAAATGGCAGAACACTTTCAAACTACTAATCACATTTGGAGCATATACACAACAAGGGAGGAAAAGTGCAGAACCTTAGAGAGTGAAATCAGAAGGTTCTTCTCCTTTTCTCTGGTTAAAGACACAGAACCAGCGTCCGGCTCCTGTAAAAATAGCTGCGGGCTCAGTTGTTTTAACATAAACAATTCAAGCGAACGGAAAATCTAGCTCGAATCGGGAAATCAAATTAAGAAACAACTAACGAAGTAAGGACGAAGGAGCTCCTCGACCAGACGGCAGAGACGAGGCAATTCCCAATCGCCGGTCATTCTTTCGTGGTGTCGTACGCTGCCGTGCCGGAGCCGGAGCCGGAGACGGTGAAAATTTCTATATTTATAGGTTAATCACTTCGGAGAAACGCAGCGTTTTGGAGACAGTGTAATATTGAAAAGACTTCCTTGTTTTGTATCCGGATTTCAAATACTAGACGGTTTTATGAACTTTTGGCGGGTGAACGGAAGACGGTTGCTTCATGCCGCCATTAACAACCCTCATACAGAACTGCACGGTTGTGACCTCGCTTAAGAGAGCTCGTCAGCTCCATGCTCTGATCCTAACAACCACAGTCTACACCAACGATGCACTCTCTCCATACAGAAACAACAACATCGTGTCTATGTACGGCCGATGCGGCTCCATCTGGGAAGCCCAGCAGGTGTTCGACCGAATGCCTGTGAGAAACACTATATCCTATAATGCGCTTCTTGCAGCCTATTCTAAATCTCCCTGTTTTGGAATGCGATGTATAGAGTTGTTTAAGGATATGGGAAGTGAAGGGCTGAGACCTGGTGGGTCGACTTTCGTCAGCTTACTGCAAGCTTGCTCTGCGCTCGACGATTGGTTTATGGGTTCTTCAATTCACTGTCAAGTTTTTAAATTTGGTGGGTCGGATGATGTCTCCATTCAGACATCATTGCTTGGGATGTACTCGAAATTTGGGGATTTGAAGTCTGCATGCCAAATTTTCGACGGGGTGGTTGTTAAAGATGCGGTCATGTGGACAGCCATGATGTTTAACCTCTTCAAGAATGAGAAGTTACATGAAGGGCTTCGTCTGTTCAATTCCATGTTGAAATCTGATGTCAGCCCTACTCAGTTCACATACTCAACGGTTCTAAATGCTTGTGCTAAGCTGCGAGATTACATTGTTGGAAGGACGATTCACTCTCGAGTTATCGTTTCGGGTCTGCCACATGATTCAAAACTGCAGAACGCTTTGCTCGACATGTATTCCAGTTGTGGAGACATTGGAACAGCTTTCGATGTCTACAGTAGGATCGAGGAACCAGAGTTAGTTTCCTGGAACTCTATAATATCAGGATGTGCAGAAAATGGCGAGTCAAGAAAGGCAATGGAATTGTTTATACAGTTACTGAGACTTTCGGTTCCTAAACCAGATGATTACACTCTGGCAGCCATTATTTCTGGAACTGGAGATGACTATGGGAAAGCTCTCCACACCCTGGTAGTGAAAATGGGATTAGAGAAGAATGTCTTCGTAGGAACAACCTTGCTGTCAATGTATTTTAGAAACAGTGATTCCGAGTCAGCACGAAAGGTCTTTTCTTTCATCGAAGAGAAAGATGTTGTTCTCTGGACTGAGATGGTTATGGGTCATTCTAGATTGGGCGATGGGGAGACTGCAATAAAATCATTCCGCGACATGTGCAACGATGGCCTAAGAAGGGACAGCTTTGCCTTCAGTGGAGGTCTGAGTGCATGTGCTGATCTGGCAACACTGAAACAAGGAGAGATGATTCACTCCCAGGCAATAAAAACAGGATGTGATGCTGAAATGAATGTCTGCGGAAGTCTCGTTCATATGTATGCCAAAAATGGTAATCTGCAAGCTTCTCGGTCAGTGTTCTCCCAAGTTTGGCTCCCTGACTTAAAGTGCTGGAATTCTCTGCTTGGTGGATATGGTCACCATGGAATGCCGGTGGAAACATTGAAACTCTTCAAAGAGATGCTAAAACATGGCATCCAGCCGGATCATGTGACATTTCTGACCCTATTGTCCGCTTGCAGCCATGGCGGCTTGGTGGAGGAAGGAATGATGTTGTGGAATTCCATGAAGCAGAAAAGTGGGACTATTACCCCAGGGCCTAACCATTACTCCTGCATGGTGAGTTTACTTTGCCGGGCAGGATTGCTAGAGAAGGCCGAAGAGGTTATACAAGAATCAGCAGCAGCAGCAGCATCTCATTCATCAGAGCATAACTTGGAAATGTGGAGAACCCTACTGAGTGCTTGTGTGGATAAGAGGAATTTGGGATTAGGAATTCGAGCTGGGGAGGAGGTATTGAGATTGGATAGTGATGACAGTGCGACACATGTTCTGGTCTCGAATCTGTATGCTGTTACAGGGAGATGGGATGGAGTTGCTGATATGAGAAAGAAGATGAGAGGAATGATGCTGGAGAAAGAAGCTGGGCTAAGCTGGATTGAAGCCCAGCATGGTGGCATTCAGGCATTCACTTCTGATGATCAAACTAGTTCTGTGATTAATGAAGCTCAATCAGAAGTATGGAGATTGCGAGGGAACGTGGGAAGGTCAGAAGTCGATGATCTTGATGCCAAGGATTGTTCTACGTAAGTGGTTGAAAAGGAGATGTGTTGCTTGTTATATCCATCCCAGCAAAGCAATAGATGACAGTGAACAATTGCTTGTTATAGCCAATTTGGTCCATTCCAGTATTCACTTTGATCTTCTTTGTTTATAGTCAAATCAAACAATATTCAACTATGAACGATTCAATCGAAATGTTCAATCCAATTTAGCACCCTGTGCCTGTAAACCAAATCCTTGAACTCACTTGATTTTATGCTCACAGAACGAAGTCATACAAAAGATCAACAAAAACTCTTTAATGATCCCTCAATGGGCAATTTCAGATTCCTTGACATAATTGAGAGAAGACTAGCTTTGCCGCTTACATTTGTTCCAGAGTAATGTTCAATCAAAGACGATTACTACTATTGTGCCTATCGTAATCGTACAATGTTACAAGATGATAGATATATTCTTGTCGGTGCCCCGCCTTGAGAATTGAAGGGCAATTGAAATGAATCAATCAAGTCGAATGACTTCAAGGACATTTCTACTTGTAGCTGCAGATATAGGTATTCCAGCAGATTTTTCCAGGGTGCATCAACATTGTATAGCATGTCACTAGCGCCTGCTAGTTCTCGATTTTGGCTTAGCTGATCTCTGCAATGCGTGTTAAGGGCGAAAGAGGGAAGAAATCAGGTGTATAGCTATAAGTCCACAAAACCAAAGCAACATACATAATATCACGACTGGCAAACAATACAAGGCAGATTACAAAAGAATGACTACTTACCGATCCAGTTAAGCTAGCTCCAGATGCTATAGCTGCACCTGGTTCAAACAGACAAAAGACAAATTAGGGAATTGCAATTAAGGGCGGCTAGCTGGTTTCAGTTTTTCGGATAATCAAAAAGAAAAAATTATTTAACCGAGAAACAGGGAGGAAAAGAATCCAAGTTCAGAAAATTCCGGCAAAAATTAGAAAGCACGAAATACTGGTTTATAATGGCTGGTCAGTGAGTTTGACTAAGTGTTTCATTTTCCAGTTAACCGATAGGATTAGCGGTTCTGGCCCATTGGTTTCAGGAAGCAAACTCATCAAATAAGAACAAGAGCAAGCATGTTTCAGGAAGCATTACATATCCTAACCACATAGGAAACAAAACCAACACTTAAAACTTGTAAACAGGACTATAGTGTAGTACTATAGAGAGCAAGAATCACAAATATCAGCATACCTGAAGCAAATGGATTTGGAAATGGGGAGCTGGCAGCAGCAGGGGTGGTGGTAGGAGCAAAGGCTGAAGCAGGATTAGAAAACAACGATGGAGTAGAAGCAGGACTGAACAATGATGCTGATGATGTCCCAAACAAAGAAGATGTAGGAGGCGCAGATGGTGTTGGTGTACCGAACAAAGAAGAACCCGACATAGAAGACACAGGAGCAGAAGATGATGGTGTGCTGAACAGAGATAACCCAGTCCCTGAAGGAGCTGCTGGTCCTGCTGCTGCTGCCAAAGATGTATGCGGAGCAGTTGATGATGCACCAGGTGCAGGTAGCAACCCAGCAACTTGATTCGAAGGCTGAGAATTTGATGCCGGCAAATGCAGAGTTGGATGAACTCTCTTAGCAGCAGCCTCTTGTTTCGCAGTCTCACGACGATCCGCCTCAAGAAACGGGTCATTCACATCACCTCGACGCCGCTGGTCCACAAGGTAAGCTGTCCTCATTGATTCGATATACTGATGTATGCTCTCCACCTGTATAGACAGAAAAGCAAACATTAACCATTCAGAACCAAGTTTCATAACCTTTCTATGCCACATCATTCTCCACAGGAAACCTGCAACAACCACATGACCCTTCCGTCTAACTATGGACACCATAGAATTTCATGTAAGAATACAAATGGAATGACCAAAACTGCACATTCATCCAGTGGCGTATATTAATCGATCTCGTTCCGTAAGTTCATCAACTCTAGGTTTCATAAACCCTAATCCAGCCAACTTACTTGTTGAAGAAGTTACCTAGACTATGATGGACTTTTTTCTTGTTTTTCATTATAAATCAAATACATTATAGAAGATTAAAATCCGTAATCCCTAAAAGTTAGGAGAAAAGATTTAGGAAAGCAAACTCAAAATAAATCAGGCTCCAACTTTGGTTACTCTCAACCCCTAAACTTGGAGGTACTTTTTGTATTGGAGTTTTATCACTGATCCAATCGAACAATGGCTTGTACTTCTGGATTCTAAAGCTAGAGGGTCTTATGAGTCCAACACCCCTGACAACATGCATTTTGGATAGATATGGAGCCAAAGAGAACACAAGCACAACAAGAAGCAAAAAGTGAAAGATTTATCAAAAGGTGCAAACATTAGATGTTTAAAGTCATCCCATCCAGCAAGGCCAGTATGCATTATGAAATGAAGAGTTGGAGAGTATCAATCTTCCTCACCTTAGAAGCTACATGGACGAAAAAGTCATGCACATTTGACATGACCTTAGGGAGAGACTGCAGCAATGTGGACTCAGGGTGGGAAGAGTTCCTGTAGGAATCTAAAAGGAGAAGCTGCTCCAACTCTTCAATCCATTGCCGACATTCACCCAAGTACTTCTCGAATCTGACAACTGTTTGCAGTAGGAAGGGAGACGGCTTTTTTGGAAGCCCACTGTAGAAATCAAATACAGGTCCTAGGGAAGTAGAAGATGGTTGGCTGGCA